CATTTTCCCCTTTCCTCCAGTCTTACTAGAACCAGCACCTCTGTCAGAAATGACATGTACTCTTCTTTCTGATGCCAACTGCATTTATGATATTTTAAGTATCAAACCAGCCATGAGATTGCAAAAATGATAAATATAAGAAAGAAAGATATTGAAGTAATAGACATACCCTCATGTATGTATTACCAGTCTCCTCAGACTGAAGGATACCATATCCTTTTCTTGCCTAAAAACAAAAACAGTTATAACAATAAATCATCACAGAAAAATATGATAGATGCAATAAAATATCAATTGAACATTAATTAATAAAATTAAATGCTATTACCAGAGCTCTTTCGTTTTGAGTTAAAGATGATTGTTGGGTTGACTGTTGCCTTGACTGTTGCATTGACTGTTGGCTTGACTGTGGCCTTGACTGTTGCCTTGACTGTGGCCTTGACTGTTGCCTTGACTGTGGCCTTGACTGTTGCCTTGTGTTTTGAACTGGTGATCCAACATTCTTTTTGGGCCTTCCCCTTGGATTCTAACAAAAAAAAAATGGATATTAATTTCAACTTACAGAAAATCATAACATGACTAAATAAGACTTCAAATAGAAATTATAACCTTTGGTTGCTTCTCCACTGGAGGATTAGAACATGATTTCTTATTGTGCCCTTTTTGAAAACATCTTTGACAAGTCATAGTCAACCCAAATCTCCTCAACTTAGTCCCACAATTCAATTCTTCCTCAGGTGCTCTCTTTCTTTTCTTTTTTGGTCTTCCAAGCATCTTTTTAAAAGGAGGAGGAAGAATTGGGTAACCCTGTGCAACTGGCCACAATTTCTTCCCATTTAAAGGTTCTAATGACAAGCTGTACAACTGCAAATACCTTTCAACTGAGTAATATTCAGACACAAACTCTACAGGATCCTGATGTTGGAAATGTATTGCAAAACATGCATGTACACATGGTATGCCAGTAATATCCCAATATCTGCAAGTACATGTCTTGTTCTTAAAGTTCATAACAAACTGATCATCCTGATGCACAACCTCAAATCTTTCACCAACAGCTGGCTTTGTGATACAATTCCTAGACATGTATTTGTTGTGCTCTAACTTCTTTCTTATTCTAGGACAAATCCCACTAAGTCCTAATAACTTGTCATGTTGTCTTTTCATTAACTCATTTCTAACAAACTCAAACATATCAATAATGTGCTTGCTTCTACCCTTGACAATCAGTCCATTGAATGTTTCACTCACATTGTTCTCAATCATATCACATCTAGACAATGGAGAAATGTAAGCCTTACAGAATTTGGTAGGATCTCTCTTCATGAAATCAGCATAAGCATCTGGATCTTCAGACTTCAAATCTTCCAAATATATGTTGTAGTCCCCCAAGTGAGTGCTGATAACAATCTTCCAGAAAATGGTTTTCAGTGTGAGCCCTTTGAAACTCTTCTTCCAGTTCATATACACATGTCTTGCACAATTTCTGTGCTCAGCATGTGGGGCCAAGTCTCTCAATGCATTCAGAAGACCCTGCAAAAGGAAAAAAATTGAAAATATACAATTTCAGATATAAGTAAGTGGAAAAATTAATTTATGAATAACTTCACAAATTAATTAAAGACATAACTTACTTTTTGTTGGTCTGACATGAAAGTATATCCAAGGCCATCATTTATTCCCAGCTCAGTGAACAAAATACTTAGAAACCACCTCCAAAATTCCTCATTTTCTGCCTCAACAACTGCCCAAGCCACAGGGTATATTTGATTGTTGCCATCTTTTGCTGTGGCACACAATAAAGCCCCACCTATAAAAGTCTTCAAGAAACACCCATCAAAACCTAAGATGGGCCTACAACCACTAATGAAACCGTTTCTCAGTGCACTAAATCCCACATAGAAACCTCTGAATGTTGTTTCTTCACCAAGAAGAAACTCAAACCTTCCATCTCTGTCTAACCTCAACAACTCTGCCATGTAACTTCTCAGAGAAGCATAATGACCAACTACTGAACCTCTGAGCATCTCAAGAGCTCTCCACTTCCCTCTATAAAGCTTTCACTTTGTAGGTTGTACTGCATACTTCTCAGATATTGCTTCTTCCATTTGGGTAATGGACATGTTTGGATTCTTCCTGAATTTTTCAAGAAACACCTCAGCAAGCCACTCTGATGTAAATTGTCTGGTGTGGACATTTCTATGGCATTTGTGCTCCTTGTTGAACTGCTTAATTGCTACACTGCCCTCTTTCATCACTGCACTTGCATACAAGGTCCAAGGGCAACCATCAACACATTTCACTCTCAACTGCTTCTTGCTAGTTTTCAGAAACTTTATGTCTCTCCCTTGAAAAATTGCCACATTCCTAACTGCTTTTTTCAACTCTTCTATGCCTATAATCTCATCCCCAACATAAACTCAAGTGTACTATGATCACAATTAGGGTCATAAGTAACCATTTTCCTTCTACCTATACAGTTTCCATCCTCATCCAAATCCAAGTCACTACCTGAATTTTCAGATGCCAATGCACAATCTACAAACCTAGAATCTTCACTGTCCATATCAATGGCATTCTTTGATTTGATGTTGTCTGCACATTCTCCATCATCTTCTAATATCCCTTTTTTTTTGCTTCTTCAGGTTCTGTCTTGCCTCAAGATATTCACCATCATCATCAGAAGCAAGATCATCAACAGAAAGTTCATCATCAGATGAGCTTTCATCAACAGGAAAATAGTCTTCATCCTCACTATCATCCCCAGACCCACTTTCAACTTCACAGTCACCCACATCTTTCTGTGACTCAGCTCCTAAACCCCCAGATCCACTTCCAACTTCACAGTCACCCACTTCTTTTTGTGACTCAGCTACTAAACCCACATCATCAGGATTCTTTGGATTGGAAAAATTATCTATATATGAATCAATATCAAATTGTTCATCTGACCTAGATGCACTTTCCACAACAACTTCTTCTTCATTGTTACCTTCTTCATTGTTACCTTCTTCTATAATTTCTCCAACCACATAAACTTCTAATAATGTTCTTTCCCTAGTAGCATGACCAATCATCTCCATAACTGCACTATCATCAACAACATCTTTAAAGCTGTCAGCTCCAACCTTCCCTGGTATTCTGTATACAAGTTTTCCAAACTTATCAACCCCCAACTTCTCAATTCTTTTAAGTCAAAATACCCAAACCTATCCACATCTAAACCATGAACTATCTTGAAACTACCACCTAAGTACTCAACAGAAGTTCCACATTTGATGAAACGGCCTCCATAGTTTACAAATATTGAAAATTTGCCACTGCAATGCAAACATAATACATAAATAGGATAATAATAATAAGTGCAATGCATAAGACACTAATGTTCCCAAAAAAAGCCCAAATTGTTCAGAGATATCCTAATTTCCCCAAAATCCCTAATTGTTCAGAAAATCCCTAATTCAACCAAAATACTTAATTTTTTAGACAAACCCTAGTTTCCACAAAATAACCCTAATTTGTTTGAAAAGCCCTAATTTCCCCCAAAAAACTCTAATTTGTATGAAAAGCCCTAATTTCCCCAAAAATACCCTAATTTGTATGAAAAGCCTTAATTTCCCCCAAAAGAACCTTAATTTCACAAAAACAAAACACTTAAATTCCAATAATAAATCGAATTTCTACACAAACCCTAAATGTGAGACCACACTCTCGAAAACAGAACATGGACCACAATCTCGAAATAAAAAATGCACAAACCACATGACAAAGAAAATAAAAAACACACAATATTCCAAATTTGTCGCACTACCTCGGGTACAAAACACAGACAATAAGAAATAAAGAATATAAGAAATTCGTCGCACCTGTCTGTCATTTTCCCAACATATAAGAAATGTCGAACGCACCCTCAGAAGGAATCTCGGACGCAGAAACACAAACTCTCATGCAATTGGGACCAATTCGTTGCGTATTCTTGATACAGAGAGAAGATTTCAGAGTAGGGTTTGATTTTTGTTGTCGACAACGATTTTATCTTCTTTGAAAAGTTAGGGTTTTCAGAAAAACGATTTGGGGAATTTGTGAAATTGGGAAGGGGAATCGTTTTTATACCATTTTTTCAGAAATTCCACGTATTTCACTTAAACTTACTGAACAAAGTCAAAATTACACGTAGATAAAACCAGCCGGACACGCTGGCACCTTTTCGCCGTCCGACGGGTTTTAAGTCAATTTTGCAAAAGTAATACAAGGCTGAGATTATTTTGCATTTATCTAGAAGTTTGGATTAAATTGCCAAAAGTGAAAAGGTCAAGGTTTTATTGACAATTAACCCTTTTAAATATCATCAGGATCCAGTCCGCTTGCACTTGCATTGAATAATATATTTTTCTAGACTAGGTCTATTTCTTACGTGACATGTATTTTTTTTTAAATGAACTTATGCATTATGGATGCTCTTAAGGAAAAAATATTATTTTAACAATTTTTTATATCATCACACACATGAAACACAATATAAAAATGGAAAAGAAAAAATTTAAATGGAACAGAATTTATTCCTTTCTTCCACCATCCTTTTCTATCATATCAATTTCTGTTTAATTTATTTTTTATATATACATGTAACCACTAATTTTTCAATATTTCATAACCTTCTACAAGAAATTAATAAAAAAAAAAAATTAAAAATTATTCACTGATTGGGTGTGATTGGGTTTCTTCTCAAGTCATTCTACACCGGCCCACAGCAGATCCTACACACACACCCTCAAGGCCTGAAAAAAACCCAATTTTTGTTTTCCTCTGCGAATTTGCAGTCTCCTCCATCAGAACAGAGCCTTCAAATTGCGTCGTCGGCTCTGCTTCTGTTCTCTCACTCAATCATTCTCCGATAATAACCGCAACTCATCCTCCCACTGGCCGCTTAATCCTCTCCAATTGTTCGAAGTTCGCAGTGATTGGATTTGATTTTACCCCGTTTGAGAAAGGGTATAAGGATGGGTTCGAGTGGCGGGTGGAAGCCTGAGGACGAAGGACTACGGGAGATCTGTGGGCTGTTGCAGCAGCAGATGGCTCCCACCTCCGACGACAAGTCGATGATATGGCAGAAGCTCGAGCACTACTCCCAGTTCCCTGATTTCAATAATTACCTCGCCTTTATTTTCGCCCGTGCCGAGGTCTGTGTTTTTTTGGGGCTCTAAATTCTGGGCGTGTTTGCTTCAATATGAGCTTGGTGCTGGCTGATGTTTTGCCCTCTTGGCTTTAATTAGCTGTAGTTGTTTTGGTGCCTCTCAATCTTTTTTTTTTTTGATCGAGCTGTGATGATTTGTTTCAGCACTTGTAGAAAGAACTAATTTTAAAGTCTGTCTCAGTTGGGATGGGAGGTTTGTTAGTCGGTCACAGTGGGCGTCTTTCCGAGTTAATATGGAAGATGAAGTTTTTGACATAGTGGTTTTGTTGCGTTTACACGGATAGGTAGAATTGAGCTGAGGTTATGGATTATGGAAGATGAGATGTCCTCCTAGTAGATGCTTTTATTTGATGAATATGAGATAACTGATAAATGGAAGAAAATTGTGTAAAAGGCTGAATACGACTTTCGATATGCAGCGGGAGTGCAGAATTTGATGGAACTCGTTAGATCACAATTTATATCGTGTATCCATGTGCATGTTGATGCATGGTTATTGACCTCATACGTAAATAAATATATGAATGTGTAGACGCATATGATGATGGTCTATTTACACATAGGGATGGAAAAAATAGCCGAAAATCGGACAATTATACAATATTGGCCCTTTCAATATGATATCTTTTGGGAAATTCTTTTTGCCTATTTATATCCGTTTCTTTTATCATACCCATTTTTAGTAATCGTTCTTCATGTATGCATGACTTTGAGTACATGTTTATATGGAAACATGAACCTAGGTTGAGATAAGTATTGATTTTAGGTAATAGGATGGACATGTTTTGCTTGAATCTCTGCAACCATTTAACTAGATTAGGGGAGTTCAATGAATATTAATTATTCAAAGTTGGTATCTTGGTGTTTGATGGGCAATATGTTAACACTTAAAATTTATATTTTCCGGGATGGTGAAGTGGAATTTTTTGTTAATTGTTTGAATTTACATTGCAGGGAACTTCAGTGGAGGTTAGGCAAGCAGCAGGCTTGCTTTTGAAGAATAACTTGAGAAGTGCATATAAAAGTATGCCACCAGCAAACCAACAGTATATAAAGTCAGAGTTGTTACCTTGTATGGGAGCAGTGGATAGGCAGATCAGATCAACAGCTGGGACCATTATTAGCACACTCGTTCAGATTGGGGGAGTTGCTGGATGGCCTGAATTGCTACATGCATTAGTGAAGTGCTTAGATAGTAACGATGTCAATCATATGGAAGGTGCTATGGATGCCTTGTCTAAGGTGTGTGCATTTTTTTTTTTTTTTTGGCGTTCGTGTGTTATAAATGAACAGCAATGCCAAGAATTTTGGTTTTAGTTTCATTATTGTTTTTATATTGATTAGATATGCAAGTGAACAGGCTCTTCATCCCCTGCCTTGGATCGATGTGAACAAAATAAAAAAATGTTACTGATATACGCTTTATTGCCCTCTATGATATAGAGTGATGATTCTAGTACTTTAAATATAAAGTGGCACTGTTTTGTTTATCGACTAAAAGAAGTTTCTTAATAAGAACAACAGGACTTGATGACGAATGTAGTGTTTGCAAATTCCACATTATCATGCTCGAGTGTTTAATTATAAATTCTGTATGTCATCGGAGTCCTCTACCTTCTTATGACCTTACTGAAGTTGAGAAAACAAATGTGAAGCTTATTTGTGGTCTGTACAACCTAGCCTTGACGTGTCCTAACTACAGATTTGTGAAGATGTGCCTCATTTGCTTGATGCTGATATCTCTGGGTTATCTGAACGACCAGTGAATGCTTTTATTCCCAGATTCCTCCAGGTTCTTATGATGACCCCTCTTATCTCTCTCATACTCCCCCTCCATCCTGTGAAGCAGGACGAATTTCGACATGTGATTTCATTAGAATGACATTTTATCTCCAATTTGTATGAAACAGCTTTTCCAATCACCGCATACTGCCCTAAGAAAGCGTTCTTTGAGTTCGGTGAACCAGTACATTATGCTAATGCCAAGAGTGAGTGCACCTGACGTATACTTTGACTCATTGCTTTTCAGTCACTCATTCATGCCGTATGTGACAGAAGTTTATGTCATAACTTAGCAGGTTCTGTATTTGCAAATGGATAAATATTTGCAAGGTTTGTTTCATCTTGCCAATGATCCAGCTGCAGAGGTGCGGAAGCTGGTAAGAAACCTTTTTACCTGACTTTTGAATTGGTCAAAGGTCCAAGCTATGCTTTTGAGGTTTTGTCAAGATGTCTCAGATATCCTTACACGCTGTTTTCATGTCTGGTGCTTGGTTATCTGATAGTATAGTATACCTAAATTCTGCATTTCAGCTGAAGTAATTATCTTGTTTTTCTTTTTCTTGTAGATAATATATATCTCTATCTACTTATTGTAAAGACAAAGAAGTATATAGATAGTCTATTGGTATTAGTAAATGAAGAAGTGTCTAATTGTATCTAATTTTTTGTACACTCCGAACATGCTTTATCAATAGAGATGTTTAAATTGAACAGATTAAAAAAGAGTTGAAGTACAAATTAAAATAAGAATAATCATTTCAGACACCAATTGTGTGGATCGGAGAGGATATATCTGGGGGGCCAAAAATCAGATCAATTGTCACACCAGTCCTGCTGACCCATTAAAACTAGAAAAATGTTGGAAATTTATGTAAAATTGTGCGTGTGTGTGTGGATAAATTTAAAAAAAAATTATGTAATATATGTATAAATAATATTGTGCGTTAACTAAGCGAATAAGTAATTTATATGAATATAGTATTAAAAATCACAAAAACTGACGACTAAATCTATATAGAAAACTCATGAAATAGATTTGATGACTTAAAATCTAAAAGAATGATATAAATTAGAAACATGAATAAATAATACCCTGCTTGATAATTTTTCATTGTTTTTAATTTTTCTTATTATTTCAAATCTTTTTCCTTTAATTTCCCACTGTTTCTATTGAGTTTCATCTCTAGCCTACCCCAACTTGTTTGGGACTAAAAAACTTTGTTATTGTTGTTGTTGTTGTTCAAATCTGTTCCTTTAATTTATATGGTCTTATATCCACTCCTTGTGTTATCTGAATTGGTGCCACCCATGCACTGGATGGGAAAGAGTACCAGTCTCGCACTAATCAATCTGAAGTTTTTTAATGTACTGGTTCATTCATTTAACATGAAAGCAGTGAAAACTGAAATGTGAATTCCTTAGATATGTAGCCATCTGTTTCGGTGTTCCTCACAATCTCTCTCTCTCTCTCTCTCTCTCTCTCTCTCTCTCTCTCTCTCTCTCTCTCTCTCTCTCGTATGTGCCGAGCAGGTATGTTCTGCATTTGTTCAGCTAATTGAAGTTCGTTCTGCTGTCTTGGAGGTGGGTAATTCATTGTCTCTCTCAAATTTTCAAATGCTTATGGTGTAGTTTGCAAGGTTATTAATCATGTCTTTTCAGATGCTATTACCTAGATTTTTTGTTATAGTATTATTTTAACTGACTGTAATGTCCTGAACTTTTCTGCTACTGTGGCTTACGCATTATGATTTGATTCTGCAGCCACATTTGAGGAACGTAATCGAATATATGTTGCTAGTCAATAAGGACCCAGATGATGAAGTGGCTTTAGAAGCTTGTGAATTTTGGTATTGCTCCTAGTCTATCTGCTTATCTTTTCAGTCACCATTAATGAATTATATATAGAAGGATGGCTAAACACGATGTGCGCTTGGTTCTCCTGGTTGTGTAGCCCTGAGCTTGTCCATATTATTGTGATAGACTCCGGTGAGACTGTATTTGTTTTGTGTTTGCATTGTATCTTATTTATACTGTGAGTTAATGCTTTAGTTCATCTTAAATTTGCTTAATTATCATCTGACACACGGGATTTCTTATTGAGATAGGCGGAGGGTGAAGTACGCTGTATCTTTAGTTCCCGCATTACCTTTTTTTCTCTTTTTTTCTTTTTTCTGTTTTCTTTCTTTTGTGTCTGTGTGTGTGAGTATCTAGTACTGCTTCCACTAGATGATGTTGTGCTTGATGCTTGGTGATTTCATCGGGATGTCTCATGAAACTTTATTATTTGACATAAAAGAGAAAGCCTGAATGGTCATTTTAAGAAATAGGTTATGTGGACCTTCCCATGGACTCAAGTAGTAGTTTTAGCTCATGATCTACTGAGTTCAGTTTGAGATGCTAGTTTTTTTTTTTTTTTTTTTTTTTTTTTTTTTTTTTTTGAGATGCTAGGTTAAGAATGAAGAATTGCAGTCTTCAGTTAGAGTATATCCTAACTCCTAAGGACATTTTAATGGATTCTGGGTAGATGCTGAGTTTCCATTCCTTCATTAAATGAAGAAACTTATGCGCCTCTCTTTTATTGAAATGAACAAATGAGTTTCCATTCCTTCCTTGCTAACAAACATTTTCTTCCCATATTTTTTTGATAGGTTGCATGTCTTTCCATAATTTAGTTTGTCTCTATGTTGTCCGTGTATTTGCTAGTTTCAACACATGCATGTCTTTCCTGACATGATCTCAATGATTTATTAATTTTTTGAGAATTCTCATATGTATTTACCGTATTTTTCCTTCACAGGTCTGCTTATTGTGAAGCTGAATTGCCTCCGGGAAACTTGAGAGAGTTTTTACCACGTCTTATACCAGTAAGCTATAGTCAGTTCGCCCATCTAATTATTTACATGGCTATGCTTAGTTTGTGATATATTTTCTTAACCTTTACAGATTTTGCTCTCAAACATGGCATATGCTGATGATGATGAATCCATTGTGGAAGCTGAGGTTATATTTATGATTTCTTTACTGATCCCTATTTTTCATTGTTCCAATAAGATTTTGAAATTTATGCTGTTTGTTTTGTACTGACATGTCATTTGGCAGGAGGATGGATCTCTTCCAGATCGAGATCAGGTTCTATTGCAATTCCTTTTACGTGCCTCTGAAATTGCCTGATGGTTTGTTAAATGTTTCTCATAGTAATATTTTATGCAGGATCTGAAACCCCATTTCCATTCATCACGTTTTCATGGGTCAGAAGATTTGGAAGATGAGGTATAATAGTATATCAGCTTTGGTATTTGCCGCTGGTTTGACTAGAATGGATGAGTAGTCTCTTATGCATTTTGCTTCTTGTTTTGAGTTGTATTCTTTTAGATCCTTGGTGCAATATTATGTGCTTCCTGGGTGTGATTTCAGGATGATGACATTGTAAACGCTTGGAACTTACGCAAGTGCAGTGCGGCTGCTTTAGACTTTCTCTCCAATGTGTTTGGGGACGAGATCTTACCCACCTTGATGCCCATTGTACAGGTGGTAAAAGTTGCATGGTTATGCAGTTTCTGCTCTTTATTTGCGTCCTCAGTTCCCTATGCCTTTTTTTTCATGCTTAGAATTTTCCAGGTTGAACTTTGAAGATTGTTTAGTAAAATTTAAATTGTTTTATCGTAATCGTTATTATTATTATTATCATTTATATTTATTTTGAAGTTTGCACGTTATGATCCTGTAATTTATTACTTGACAAACATGAAGAATAGATTTGTGCTATTCCAACTGATATTTAACATTCCTGTTTTATTAATTTTAGATTAGTTTCTCAAGATCGTAAAATCAGTACTTCATTCTTTCTGTGTAGGCTAAGTTGTCGGCTATGGGTGATGAAGCCTGGAAAGACAGAGAAGCTGCGGTTTTGGCGCTTGGTGCCATAGGCGAAGGTTGCATTAACGGTCTCTACCCACATCTCTCTGAGGTAACTTTTAGGAGCATTGGTGGAAAATTATATTATTCTGGATCTGAATGAACATTAACAATGACAATTAAGGTTCTGAACACATGTTGCTATTTTTGAATTCAAATTATCACTTTCTTATGATCTTTTTATTACAGTTCTTCTAGTCGAACGTTTTGGGTGTGATCTCCGTTCACCTATTAGAAGTTTTAACTTATGATGATTTGTACAATTTTTTTTCTCCACTATAGTTGATTGATCTAGATCAGTGCTTATCATGTTCTCTTGTGTAGATTATTTCTTTCCTTATCCCGCTCTTGGATGACAAGTTTCCTCTGATAAGGAGCATCTCTTGTTGGACACTGTCACGTTTCAGCAGATATATTGTTCAGGTAATATATCATAATTCCTTATTTCCATTTAAAATTTGAAAACAACCTTGACGTTACTTTTAAAATTTGAGCTGTTACCTGTTTTTTGATAATTTGTATTTGTTTGCATGGCTAGGACACTGCTCATCACGAAGGTTATGATCAATTCGACAAAATACTAACAGGGTTGCTGCGAAGAATACTGGATGATAATAAGAAGGTCCAAGAAGCTGCTTGTTCAGCTTTTGCTACTCTGGAAGAGGTATCTCTCCTTCTCCTTTCTGAAATTGTAGGAATAGGGTTTATTATACTAATTGTTAATCGAATCATTTTATATGTGCAGGAAGCTGCAGACCAGTTGGTACCTCGTCTGGACGTCATTTTGCAACACTTAATGTGGGCCTTTGGGAAATATCAGGTCGACTCAAACTCATTTTATTCCGTAGTTTATTTCCTTTGTCTTTTTTTTAGAGCATCAACACTTTTAGGATCTAATACTCTGTCTCAGTCTGTTCTGCTACCTCTTCAACTTTCTTCTTTCATAATTGTCTTTGTTTGCAGAGGCGAAACCTCAGAATTGTATATGATGCTCTTGGAACATTAGCAGATGCTGTTGGAGGCGAACTAAATCAGGTATACTATTATGCATATTTTTTTTGGCTTGTTCTATTCCTAACTTGTTTCTGTTAACTATTTAGGGACAAGATATATCATTATATTATCTACTAAAACATCGTTTTGTTGATAACATCTTTTGTATTAAGCACATTTTCATTCTTTATTATTTGTTTGCTAAAAAGAGGTTGCGTTCTTTTTTAATTACATGTATTCTCCACGTTCATCATTGTATGAAATGTATCCCTAATGTCAGTTTATTATACATCTGCAGCCTTCATATCTTGAAATCTTGATGCCTCCACTGATTACAAAGTGGCAGCAGCTTTCAAACTCTGATAAAGATCTCTTCCCTCTCCTGGAATGCTTTACGTCTATAGCTCAGGTATCAGTTGTTGTTGACTATGTAAAGGTCACTCGTGCAATGCCACTACGTCAAGAAGCTGCAATTGATTTTTTCCTATTTGTTGACACAAGCTTCTATTTTCAGTCAGAAGGGTCATTTTTTTTTTTTTTTTGGTTTGCCCCCAGTCCCCAAACTGAGCTTGTGTTGAGCTGCAGAATTTAGTAATTATATTACAAGTATGTAAATTGTGCCTTAGGGAAGACGCTTATCACGACACATGGTTCATAGAGTGCATATTGAATGCTAATAGAATAGTAATAATGTAACATGGACTTCTTTCAGGCACTGGGTACTGGATTTTCACAGTTTGCTCAGCCGGTGTTCCAGAGATGCATAAACATCATTCAGACCCAACAACTTGCAAAGGTTTTTATTTGACGTGATACCTATTTATAAGTTACTCAAATCTTTTATCGAGCCAGTTGCTACCACATACAACTATACAAGCAAAGAATCTGTAAAGCCCAAGGGTTCTGCGGTTTTTGGTTAATCTGCTTCACTAATGAATTATTATTGATTCACTTGATTCATTTTAATTTTGCTTAAGTGGTGCTGATTTGAACCAATTGGTAACCTGGCTTTATTTTATCGAGCCAGTTGCTACCACATACAACTCATGTTTTTTTAACTTCTTACTCAGCATTTGACTAAAACATTCCCTCTAATTATCTCAATTAATTGGCTGAAACACCACAATGTTGCTTTTAGGTGGATACTGTTTCTGCTGGGGCACAATATGAGAAAGAGTTCGTTGTTTGCTGTTTGGATCTTCTCTCTGGACTTGCTGAGGGTCTTGGACCTGGCATAGAGAGCTTGGTACTTCAATTTTCCACTATAATATCTTACATCATAGAATTGCATTTGTTGTCATGATTATATGACTTTGCTCTGTCGCCTTGGCTTTTATTATCCAGCAGTTTATTTAATTAGTGATGCCATTCTCTAGTGTATGCTAGGCTTTCATTAAAAAAAAAAAAATGCTAGGATGCCAATTTGTCTACTTCCTCATTTATGTATTATCCTTAGGTTTCACAAAGTAACTTGAGGGACCTGCTGCTGCAATGCTGTATGGATGATGCCCATGATGTTCGCCAAAGTGCTTTTGCCTTACTGGGAGACCTTGCTAGAGTAAGTTGAGAATTTTATCCGATTTTTGGTCCAACAGTCCTCTTAGTCATTTTATGTTTGCCCAATTTATGCCCACGTGAGCCATTGGTTTCTGATATCAGTTTTGATTTTAGGACATTTTGAAAAATAAGGGTTTTGTTACCTCTTCTTGAGTTTATCTAATGCCCTTACTCTGTTACTCATCAGATACTCATTTTTCTTTAATTATGTGATTAGGTTTGTGCAGTTCATCTACATCCCCGTTTAGCTGAATTTATCGATGCTGCTGCTAAACAATTGGTATGTAAATGATCAATCTTGATTCTGTGGAGCGGTTCTATAACTCCTTAATTGACATTTTCTTCCATCAGAACGCCCCGAAGCTGAAGGAAACTGTTTCTGTTCTCAACAATGCATGTTGGGCTATTGGAGAATTAGCGGTTAAGGTATGGCTTTCTTTTTCTTCTTCTATCCCTCCTCACAAGGGAACTCTATGGATCAAACAAAAGGCAATTTCTCAGTAAAGACTAATATTAACATATTAGCAATACTACTGCAATTTTTTAGTATGGGCTGACATTAACTATATTAACAATTATTAACAATTGCTCACTCATGTACACTCTCCATGCCATACTATAAACTGTATCACATTGAACCCGACAGAATGCATGTGGAAATTCTTTCACAGGTTTACTAAACTGTGTACCGTACTTTATTCTGTTTCCAACTCAATGTATGTGTTTGGAAAGGCTGTTCTTCTAATGCTATATATGTTGGATGGAGATTAACATTTTATCCAAAACTTCAGGTTCACAAAGAGATATCTCCTGTAGTTCTGACTGTGATCTCTTGTTTGGTTCCAATACTTCAACATCCTGAGGTAATTATCCATCCTTAGTTTTTTTTTTTTTTTGCCAACTTTCATGGGATTTTCAGCATAGATTTGTCTTTGATATTGTTGTTGACTTGTTAAAAGGAGTTAAATATTGTTGATTCTACACTTATTAATCTGAGAAATGACTGAATACACATTTATTCTATCTTTTTAGGGCCTTAACAAATCACTCATCGAGAACAGTGCCATTACGCTTGGAAGACTTGCATGGGTTTGTCCAGAGCTCGTCTCTCCGCACATGGAGCATTTCATGCAGTCTTGGTGCCTTGCTTTGTCCATGTAGGTTTTTCGTTATTTACTCGTAATGCGCAAGAACCTTAGAGCTGCATCCTTATTTAACTTATCCTTTTATCCAACTCGAGACAGGATACGTGATGACATAGAGAAGGAAGATGCTTTCAGAGGTTTATGTGCAATTGTAAGTACTTCACTTTTCCTCCTTATCTGCTATTCAGGCCACTTACCAACTTTATGTCAACATGTAATAGTATGTCACCTTATGGTTGCAGGTTAGAGCAAATCCATCTGGAGCTTTAAATTCTCTTGTTTTCATGTGCAAGGCTATTGCAAGTTGGCATGTAAGTGATAATTAATGTAACACTTTTCCGAGTTTCTTTTGTTCGCACGACACGCCAGCTTATCTCACACATCATATTGTGTTTCCCATGGCAGGAAATAAGGAGTGAGGACCTTCACAATGAAGTCTGCCAGGTCTTGCATGGATATAAACAGGTAAACAATTCATTGTGGATAAATTGAGTTAAATGACTAAAACCTATTGTTTACTTCTGTGCATATGATTCATGATATCTAATAATCTTATGATCACTCGGAAGAGATTTAAAAAGAGTAGTAATTAAGTTGAATGTCTTTGAAATTTCGCCAGATGCTTAAGAATGGAGCATGGGAACAATGCATCTCGTCCTTGGAGCCACCTGTGAAGGACAGGCTGCTCAAGTACCGAGTCTAGTGATCTTCCTATATTTGGCCGACTCGGAACAGTACTGTTTGGTCTGCTTGTGTATTGTTATCCATTTACCTTCTTCTCGTTTAATCATGGAGCCAGTTTGAGCCTTAGTCGCGTTTCAGTCATGATTTGCTGCAGTAATTCTGTCGAAACTTGAAGGTTTTTATACCCCTGAAGGTTAAAACCCGTCTGGGTTTGTTAAAAAGTAGTGTTTACTGGGAAACTGGACGGAACTGCATGGAATGTACTATTTAGACTCTCTTGCCCTTCTCTCACCGGGGCCGTATACAGAAGAAAAGGTCGATCCAAAAGGTTCCGATTTTGTGTTTTCTTTTCTTTTTCTTTTTTTTTTTTTTTTTTTTTTTTCCTGAGAGAGAAATAATGGCACATATGCCTTGAGCATGGTAAAAATATGGATTTGCTTAAAGTGTTTAACACATTGTATTTCCTTTTCACAACATCCATTTTATAGATGTGTTGTGGCCTTTAACATATGTGAGTGAGTTTGGTTTGAATGGACTTGTATTTGTTATTGTGACTTATGCTGTTATTGGGCTTCATAATGGCTTCATATTCAGTGATGAGTGTTGTGAAATTTAGGGTTATATTTCAAAATCACATTGTTTTTAATGTAATTTATTTATGTAAAAGCTTTTTCAATATGAATTAAATATGACTTTGTCCTGGTTTTAAACCTGATTTTGCCAACATAACAATATCATTCTCTTATTAGTCTACACCAAGGCCTACCTTGTTTGTAAAATATCTGAGTATTTACTATTTGTGGTATTGCAATGTGACATTAGGGTTGGTATCGGTTTTGTAACCGAACCGATAAGACCAAATCGATACCGAACTGGTTTTTACGGTAACATTGAAATACGAATTTGAAACCGCTGATTGTTAAGTAAATTGTCTTTGAACCTGGTCTGGATCGCTGTCACTTGTACGCACTGCTTCGGTGTCTTCAATTACCTGAAAATTGCCAGGAGGGATCCTGGTGGAAAACATTCCGACGCTCGAGTTACTTCACATTCAACAATCGTACGATGACAAAATGTATTTTCTTTACGCGAGTGTATTGTTTTCAAGTAATAAATTTTGTTCCCATTTTATAGACAAGGTGGTCTGTTCACTAAGACTTCTGGTGGAACAAGAAGTCTTCTCATATTTTCCCTCTTAAAAAACTAGATCTCGAATCATTGGAATCCTTACTAGCATGAACCTCCTTCGTTTAGCCCCTTCTTTACGCAAGCCTCTTTTAGAACCGTCAGTGTTACCATAAGAACTATGAGCTCGACATTTAACCCATGCCTTCGAGGTCGGCCTCACATTCAACATCAATACCACTTGACCTTGACGACAAGACCCTTCAACGCCTGAGCTACATAACCCTCGATGCCAACCTGGTGCTTACCATCAACCCCATAACTATTAAGCATTAGGTAATAGTCTAATAAAGTATTAAACATTAAACTAAGGTACTAAACAAGTCATTACTATTATTACTAATTAGGTAATATAGTCTAATAAAAATTATTTTCGAGCATTAACAAGTTGAAAGCGGTTCGTTTCGTTTAACATCTCTAAGACACGGGTTAGGTTGTTTCTCGGTTCAAATGGTTATGAACCGCAACTATGAGAAACGGGTTTGAAAGATATAAAATTGGGAACCGAACCGTGTAATTTCCGATTCGAAATCGAGCTCATTGAACATATGTCAGTGAACATATCTCAGTGTGCCTATCTGGGAATTCAACTAAAAGGATATTTTTCAATCGGATTGGGTCTGACCAGGAAATTTCAAGGATTTCGGAAAGCATTTACTGTAGCATAAAATAATTCCAACCTTTTTGTCCCCCGTTTGACATGGATATGTGATGCCAATAAGGACCTTTTTGCAAAAAAAAAAAAAAAAAAAAAAAAAAAAAAAAAAAAAAAAAAAAAAAAATAATAATAATTAAAAATTGATATGAATTACTCTTTTTATCCTAAAATTTGTTTCATTTTCTGTTTCCATATAGGTTAAAAAATTCCAAACCATTATTTTTTTTCAATAAAAATTATTGGGAGTAAATCAGAGTCATAATGTTTTCAGTAACATATTTTTATTTCGTTAGAACTACGTTTGTCTTCTACATTTATTCTTTATTAATTATTTTGTATTATTGTACTTTCACATTTAATTTTGTTTAATTTTCATAAAAAAGAGTAATATATATATATATATATATATATATATATATAAATAAAAAAATAAATAACAAACACTCGTCATTTGGGAAGAAAGGAAAAAGGTCTCACGGCACTATTAAAGGGAGTAAGAGAAAACATGAAAAAAAGGGTACACACGTTTCGCAATCCACATCAGTCGACAATAGTAAGACCTCAGCTGTGTGTGTCCTACAAAGACCAAAGTTTTTGAGAGCTAATAAAAACAATGAGAAATGTTAAAGTTTCGTTACAGAATTATTCTTTCGAGATTTGTAACCGTTGGATTATCATGTAACCATCAGAGATGGTTGATCTAACGTTTACAAATCTCGACGGAATAGTTCCGTAACGGGACCGTAACTTCTTCTTAAAAAAAAAAACAAAATAAAACTAAGAAATTGTCAACCGACATAATCTTCCATGCACACCAAATGTTTTTAATTAATCCTTTGCTTTTGTGTTAATTACCTTAAATCTTAATCCCAACTTATGACCTAAGGGAGAGAGAATTAATTTTCATAACTTACTATTAGTGAAATGACTCAAGATTTACGCTCAAATTTATTAGATAAATGACACGTTTATTAACGTCACGATTATATTCGTATCATAGTCAATAGAAATGCTCCCCGACCCACGATTGGCACATATTAATATGTCCACGGTGTAGGTGACATGCACTCATTGATGATGTTAATAAGTTTAAAAAAATATATCACCAATGAGTGCATGCCATCTACGCGGTGGACATATTAACATGTGCCTACCGTGGATAGGTGAACATTTCTCTCATAGTCAATCATCAATGAAACAAGAATTGAACCATAGATTTTGAAACTGAAAATTAATTGTTTTCCTCACTTAACCTACAAAAGACTCATGGCAAAATTTACGAACATATATAAAATCCCATATCTTTAATATCACCATAAAATTTTCATGCTTTCTCCATGCATATACATCTCTCAAAATTTGATTTCACCATCTCTTATTATATACTTTAGATGGATCAAACATACACCAAAACACTTGTTTCAAACACATGCATCCCTCATCAATAATAACTCCATAAATTTTCCCATTGGCCGCCCGGCCACTCGTCCAAAGGCGGCGACCCCATCCTCGGCGGGCTAACGAGCATCCCTTCCGCCATATCCACCAACAAATTCGGCATATCGAACAGCGCATCCTCATCGACATACTCATCATACCCACCAACACCGCTCGCCAAAGAATTACTCTCTACCGGCCAGTCACGACCCTCCGCCGCCGCCACCACCACGCCCACGCCGCCGCCTCCCGCCGGACCCATCATCTCTGCCGCGCGTGCGGCCGCTCTCTGAATCTCTTCTGGCGAAGCCGGCAACGGAACCGGAAATGAGCCAGCGCGGCCCGGTAAGTTCAATGCGACATTGCCGCCTTTTAGGGCGAGCGCCGCCACGTCGTAGGCGGCGGCGGCCATCTCCGGCGAGGGATAGGTGCCGAGCCATATGCGGGTCGTTTTCCTCGGCTCGCGAATCTCGGAAACCCATTTCTCGCCCCGGCGCCTAATGCCGTGGTACGTCGGGTGTTTTCCAGTGGTGCTGGTGGTGCCGCCGCCGGTTTTGGTGGTCTTTTTGGCCTTTTTGTGGGATGGGAGTGTCTCGTTTTGATGGGGTGGTTGAGAATGATAATGTGAAGAGTCAGCCATATGTATTATATAATGTACAATTATTATTAGGATAAAAATAATAGTAGTGTTTTAGTTCTATAGCTTAAGATAGAAGGTTTTAGGAGATGTATAAGGGAGGTGAAGGAATGTTTAGGTCTTTAAAGGTGTAT